AGGTGACCCCATAACCTCAAGGAACCCCAAAATCCCCCTCAAGGCGACCCCATAACCCCAAGGAACCCCAAATCCTCCTCAGGGTAACCCCATAACCCCAAGAAACCCCAAATCCTTAATCCCCCTCAAGGTGACCCCATAACCCCGAGGAACCCCAAATCCCCCTCAAGCTGCCCCCAGACCCTCCGGGCGCGGCCCCGATGCCGTACGGGGCTCGCGGGGTCCCGCGCGGCTCTCGGGGTCCCTGTAGGGCACGGCCAGCGTCGTGTCCAGCGCCTTGAAGCAATCCCGCAGCGAGTTCCGCCGGTAGAACTCCACCAGCTCCTGGGGGACCCCAAAAACCCCCCCGGAGAGGGTCAGTGACCCCAAAAACCCCAAAAACCCCCAAAACCCAGACAGAGAGGGCCAGTGACCCCAAAAACCCCCAAAACCCACCCAGAGAGGGTCAGGAACCCCCCCAAGAAACGCTAAAAACTGACCCCAGAGAGGAGTGGGTCAGTGACCTCAAAAACTCAAAACTGTCCCCAGAATGGTCAGGGACCCCAAAACCCCCCAAAAACACCTCAAAGGGGGGTCAGTGACCCCAAAACTGACCCCAAGGGGATCAGCGACCCCAAAACCCCCAAAAGCCACCCCCAAAGGGGGGGGTCAATGACCCCAAAAAAGATAAAACCCCCAAAAAACCCACCCAGAGAGGATCAGGAACCCCAAAAAACCCCAAAAACTGTCCCCAGGAAGGTCAGTGACCCCAAAAACCCAAACAGAATGGTCAGGGACCCCAAAAACCCCAAAAACTGTCACCAGGAGGGTCAGTGACCCCAAAAACACCAAAAACACCTCAAAAGGGGGTCAGCGACCCCAAAAACCCACCCGGAGAGGGTCAGTGACCCCAAAAACCCCAGAAACCCCAAAAACCCACCCAGAGAGGGTCAGGAACCCCCAAAAAACCCCCCAAAACCCTCACAGATTTTGGGCTTTTGGGGTCCCCCCAGGTTTTGGGGTTGCTCCCGGGTTTTTGGGATCCTCCAGGAGGATTTTGGGGCCCCTCCGGGTTTTTTGGCCCCCTCCAGGTTTTTGGGGTCCCCCACGCAGATTTGGGGATTTTTGGGATCCCACCACGCAGATCTTAGGGTTTTTGGGGTCTCCCCTGGGTTTTTGGGGTTCCTGGCAGTTCCGGGGTAACCCCACCCGGATTTTGGGGTTTTGGGGTGTCCCCCGGGAGGATTTTGGGGTTTTTTGGGTCCCTCCGGGAGGTTTTTGGGGTCCCCGGTAGGATTTTGTGGTCCCCCGTGGTTTTTGGGGTTTTGGGGGTCACCTCACGTGGATTTTCGAGTTCCCCCATGATTTTTGGGATCCCCCCCGGGGTTTTTGGGGTCCTCCACGCAGATTTTGGGGTTTTGGGGGTTCCCCCGGGATGTTTTTGGGGTCCCACCCTCCGTGGTTTTGGGGGTCCCCTCCTGGTGTTTTTAGGAGGATTTTGGTGTTTTGGGGATTCCTCCGGGAGGATTTTGGTTTTTTGGGGTCCCCCCGGGATGTTTTTGGGGTCCCCCCCCTCCCTCCCTGTCCCTCTCCCTCCCCAAAAGTGTCCCCGCCACTCGTCTCCCTCTCCCTCCTCTCTCCCTCTCTCTCTCCCTTCCTCCCCTTCCCCTTCTCCCTCTCCGTCTCTGTTTCTCCCTCCCTCCTTCCTCCCTCCCTCCCTCTCCCCCTCCTCCCTCTCCCAAGCGTCCCCAAAGGTTTCCCCAGGTGTCCCCAAGTGTCCCCAAGTGTCCCCATGTCCCCGGCTGTCCCCAAAGGTGTCTCCGAGTGTCCCCACATCCCTAAGTGCCCCCAAATGTCCCCAGGTGTCCCCAAAATGTCCCCACTATGTCCCCAGACGTCCCCAAAGGTGTCCCCAAGTGTCCCCAGAGGTGTCCCCACAATCCCTAAGTGTCCCCAAATGTCCCCAAAAGTGTCCCTGTGGCCCCAAAATGTCCCCACTATGTCCCCAACTGTCCCCAAAGGTGTCCCCAAATGTGTCCCCACTATGTTCCCAGATGTCCCCGAAGGTGTCCCCACAATCCCTGAGTGTCCCCAAGTGTCCCCAAATGTCCCCAGGTGTTCCCAAAAGTGTACCTGTGACCCCAAAAGTGTCCCCACAATGTCCCCAGATGTTCCCAAAGGTGTCCCCAAGGTGTCCCCCCAAAGGTGTTCCCAAGGTGCCCCCAAGGTGCCCCCAAAGGTGTTCCTAAGGTGTCCCCAAGGTGTCCCCACTGTCCCCAAGGTGTCCCCAAATGTCCCCAAAAGTGTCCCTGTGACCCCAAAAGTGTCCCCACAATGTCCCCAGATGTTCCCAAAGGTGTCCCCAAGGTGTCCCCAAAGGTGTTCCCAAGGTGCCCCTAAGGTGTCCCCAAATGTCCCCAGGTGTCCCCAAGGTGTCCCCAGGTGCCCCCAAGGTGTCCCCAGTGTCCCCAGGCATCCCCAAGGTGTCCCCAAGGTGCTCCCAGGTGTCCCCAAAAGTGTTCCCAAAAGTGTCCCTGTGACCCCAAAAGTGTCCCCACAATGTCCCCAGGTGTCCCCAAAGGTGTCCCCAGGTGTCCCCAAGGTGTCCCCAGGTGTCCCCAAGGTGTCCCCAAGGTGTCCCCAGGTGTCCCCAAGGTGTCCCCAAGGTGTCCCCAGGTCCCTCACTTGACGCTGATGGCGAAGTCCCCGGGCTCGCGCAGCCGCTGCCGCACCAGGAAGGCGCCATCGGAGCGGGGGGACAGCGCCTGCTCGGCCCCCGCGCGCTCCAGGGGCCCCCCGAACCTGGAATTGGGGGGTGTCACCCCAAAAACCAAACCCAGGGAGGGGTCTACCTGCTCATCCCGGGTGAGAAATGACACCAAATAACCCGGAAAGAACCCGAAATTCGGGGTCAGCGCCCCCAAAAACCCCAAAAACCAGCCCTGAAAACCCAAAATCCCACCCAGAAACCCCCAAAAACCCACCCAGAAACCCCCAAAAACCACCCCAAAAACCCCGGTGCTGCTTCGGCAACCTGCTCATCCCGGGTGAGAAATGACACCAAATAACCCGGAAAGAACCCGAAATTCGGGGTCAGCGCCCCCAAAAACCCCAAAAACCAGCCCTGAAAACCCAAAATCCCACCCAGAAACCCCCAAAAACCCACCCAGAAACCCCCAAAAACCACCCCAAAAACCCCGGTGCTGCTTCGGCAACCTGCTCATCCCGGGTGAGAAATGACACCAAATAACCCGGAAAGAACCCGAAATTCGGGGTCAGCGCCCCCAAAAACCCCAAAAACCAGCCCTGAAAACCCAAAATCCCACCCAGAAACCCCCAAAAACCCACCCAGAAACCCCCAAAAACCACCCCAAAAACCCCGGTGCTGCTTCGGCAACCTGCTCATCCCGGGTGAGAAATGACACCAAATAACCCGGAAAGAACCCGAAATTCGGGAAAAACCCCACCCGGGACCCCAAAACCACAGCCGGGACCCCAAAACCCCACCCGGGACCCCAAAAACCCCACCCAGGGGGGACAGCGCCTGCTCGGCCCCCGCGCGCTCCAGGGGCCCCCCGAACCTGGAATTGGGGGGTGTCACCCCAAAAACCAAACCCAGGGAGGGGTCTGACCCCAAAAACCCACACCCGACCCCAAAAACCCCACTCGGGACCCCCAAAAAGGACCCCAAAACCCCATCCGGGACCCCAAAAACCACACCCGGGACCCCTCAGCTCCAGGGGCCCCCCGAACCTGGAAATTGGGAGGTGCCACCCCAAAAAACACAACCCAGGACCCCAAAAATCAAACCCAGGATCCCCCCACCTCCAAGGGAGGGGTCTGACCCCAAAAATCCCACCCAGGACCCCAAAAACCACACCCGGACCCCAAAAACTCCAACCCGGACCCCAAAAACCACACCCAGGACCCTTCCCCATCTCCAGGGGGGAGTGTGACCCCAAAAACAGGACAGAGAGGGAGGAAGGGGGAGGGAATTTGGGGGTTCAGGGCAGAATTTTGGGGTCCCAAGGTGGAATTTTTGGGTCCCAGGTGCTAATTTCGGGGTTCCAGGTGTGAATTTTGGGGTCCCAGGCTAAAATTTTGGGGTTTTAGGTGCAAATTCTGGGGTTTTAGGTGCAAATTTTGGGGTCCCAGCTTTGAATTTTGGGGTTCCCTTTGCGAATTTTGAGTGTTCAGGGCAGAATTTTGGGGTTTTTGGTGTGAATTTTTGGGTCCCAGGTTCAAATTTTGGGTTTTTCAGGGCAGAATTTGGGGTTCAGGCGCGAATTTTGGGGTCCCCTCACTGACCATGGGTACACAGAGAGATCCGGCAGCGGCACCTGGACAAAAAAAGACAAAGAAAACCCAAAATTTGGGTTCGGGGGGCTCCAAATGACCCCCCCAAACACCCCAGACCCCCTCCCCAAATTCGGGGACACCCCCAGAAAATTTGGGGGGGGGTTTTTTTGGGGTTCCCCCAAACTCACGGCCACGAGTCCCCAGGTGTCCCCAAGGTGTCCCCAAGGTGTCCCCAAGGTGCCCCCAGCGTCCCCAGGTGTCCCCAAGGGGTCCCCAGGTGTCCCCAAGGTGTCCCCAGGTGTCCCCAAGGTGTCCCCAAGGTGTCCCCAGGTCCCTCACTTGACGCTGATGGCGAAGTCCCCGGGCTCGCGCAGCCGCTGCCGCACCAGGAAGGCGCCGTCGGAGCGGGGGGACAGCGCCTGCTCGGCCCCTGCGCGCTCCAGGGGCCCCCCGAACCTGGAATTGGGGGGGGTCACCCCAAAAATCAAACCCAGGGACGGGTCTGGCCCCAAAAACCCCACCCGGGACCCCAAAACCCCACTCGGGACCCCAAAAACCCCACCCGGGACCCCAAAAACCCACCCGGGACCCCAAAAACCCCACCCAGGGGCGACAGTGCCTGCTCGGCCCCCGCGCGCTCCAGGGGCCCCCCGAACCTGGAATTGGGGGGTGTCACCCCAAAAACCAAACCCAGGGAGGGGTCTGACCCCAAAAACCCACACCCGGGACCCCAAAAACCTACCCGGGACCCCAAAAACCCCACCCGGGACCCCAAAAACCCCACCCAGGGGTGACAGTGCCTGCTCGGCCCCCGCGCGCTCCAGGGGCCCCCCGAACCTGGAATTGGGGGGTGTCACCCCAAAATTCACAGCCGGGACCCCAAAACCACCAACCGGGACCCCAAAACCCCAACCCGGACCCCAAAACCCCATCCAGGACCCCAAAAACCACACCCGGGACCCCTCAGCTCCAGGGGCCCCCCAAACCTGGAAATTGGGAAGTGCCACCCCAAAAAACACCATCCAGGACCCCAAAAATCAAATCCAGGATCCCCCCAGCTCCAAGGGAGGGGTCTGACCCCAAAAACCCCACCCGGGACCCCAAAAACCACACCCGGGACCCCTCAGCTCCAGGGGCCCCCCGAACCTGGAATTGGGGGGTGTCACCCCAAAAACACCAACCGGGACCCCAAAACCCCACTCCGGACCCCAAAACCCCATCCGGGACCCCAAAAACCACACCCGGGACCCCTCAGCTCCAGGGGCCCCCCGAACCTGGAAATTGGGAGGTGCCACCCCAAAAAACACAACCCAGGACCCCAAAAATCAAACCCAGGATCCCCCCACCTCCAAGGGAGGGGTCTGACCCCAAAAATCCCACCCAGGACCCCAAAAACCACACCCGGGACCCCTCAGCTCCAGGGGCCCCCCGAACCTGGAAATTGGGAGGTGCCACCCCAAAAAACACAACCCAGGACCCCAAAAATCAAACCCAGGATCCCCCCACCTCCAAGGGAGGGGTCTGACCCCAAAAATCCCACCCAGGACCCCAAAAACCACACCCGGGACCCCTCAGCTCCAGGGGCCCCCCGAACCTGGAAATTGGGAGGTGCCACCCCAAAAAACACAACCCAGGACCCCAAAAATCAAACCCAGGATCCCCCCACCTCCAAGGGAGGGGTCTGACCCCAAAAATCCCACCCAGGACCCCAAAAACCACACCCGGACCCCAAAAATTCCAACCCGGACCCCAAAAACCACACCCAGGACCCTTCCCCATCTCCAGGGGGGAGTGTGACCCCAAAAACAGGACAGAGAGGGAGGAAGGGGGAGGGAATTTGGGGGTTCAGGGCAGAATTTTGGGGTCCCAGGGTGGAATTTTTGGGTCCCAGGTGCTAATTTCGGGGTTCCAGGTGTGAATTTTGGGGTCCCAGGCTAAAATTTTGGGGTTTTAGGTGCAAATTCTGGGGTTTTAGGTGCAAATTTTGGGGTCCCAGCTTTGAATTTTGGGGTTCCCTTTGCGAATTTTGAGTGTTCAGGGCAGAATTTTGGGGTTTTTGGTGTGAATTTTTGGGTCCCAGGTTCAAATTTTGGGTTTTTCAGGGCAGAATTTGGGGTTCAGGCGCGAATTTTGGGGTCCCCTCACTGACCATGGGTACACAGAGAGATCCGGCAGCGGCACCTGGACAAAAAAAGACAAAGAAAACCCAAAATTTGGGTTCGGGGGGCTCCAAATGACCCCCCCAAACACCCCAGACCCCCTCCCCAAATTCGGGGACACCCCCAGAAAATTTGGGGGGGGGTTTTTTTGGGGTTCCCCCAAACTCACGGCCACGAAAGGTTTGACGGCGCTGCTGGGGAACCAGCCCAGCTCCCCGCTGGCCACGTTCCGACCCTGGGGGGAAATTTGGGGGTTCCAGGGGGGTCCCGAGACCCCCAAAAGGGTTGGGACGACCCCCCCCAGAACCCCCCAGGAATTTGGGGTGGGGTCCCCCCTAAATTCCGGGAGGTCTCCCCCAAATTTTGGAGGCTCTTTTGTGGTTTTTGGGATGCTTTGAGACCCTCCCAAGGATTGGGGTGGGGGAAATTTGGGGGATCCAAGGGGGTCCCGAGACCCCCAAAAGGGTTGGGACGACCCCCCCCCCAGAGCCCCCCAGGAATCTGGGGTGGGGTCCCTCCTAAATTCCGGGAGGGCTCCCCCAAATTTTGGAGGCTCTTTTGTGGGTTTTGGGATGCTTTGAGACCCTCCCAAGGATTGGGGTGGGGGAAATTTGGGGGATCCAAGGGGGTCCCGAGACCCCCAAAAGGGTTGGGACGACCCCCCCAGAGCCCCCTCCTAAATTTTGGGGGGGGTCTTCTGTGGTTTTTGGGGTGTCTTGAGACCCTCCAGGAATTTGGGATGGGGTCCACCCCTCCCCATTTTCAGAATCCGCCCCATTTCAGGACCGCCCCCCAGTTTTAGGACCCCCCCAATCTAAGAACCCCCTCCCCATTTTGGGGGTCCCAAACCCCAATTTGGGGGTCCCAAATCCCACTCTGGGGGTCCCATCCCCATTTAAGGAACCCCCCCAAATTTTTGGAGCCCTCCCCCATTTCAGGGATCCCACCCCCATTTTAGAAGCCCAATTTTTGGGGTCCCCCCCGTGTCCCCCACCTGCCACCAGAGCTCCTCGGCCTCGGCCGCTGTCACCTCGATGACGTCACCGGGGCTGAGGCGCAGGGGAGGGGCCAGGACCCCCGGAGGGGGGGGCACCCCAATGTACGACTGGGTGCTCTCCATTTTGGGGAGTCCTGGGGGAGGGGGGAACCCCGAGTCAGGACCCCCACGGGACCCCCAAAAATGGATTTGGGGGGGTCAAAAACCCCCCTGAAGGGATTTGGGGGGGGTCAAAAACCCCCCTGAAGGGATTTGGGGAGGGGTCAAGAACACCCCAAGAAGGATTTGGGGGGGCAAACCCCCCCCGGGGACCCCAAAAATGGATTTCAGGGGGTCAAAAACCTCCAGGGACACCCCAAATTTCAACTGTGGGGGGATCAGGACCCCCAAATTTGAGCTGGGGGGGGTCAAGACCCCCAAAACCCCCCAAAATCTGTCTTGGGGGTGGGGTCATGATCTCCTAAATTTCAACTTGGGTGGTCAGGACCCCCACATTTAAGCTGGAGGGGGTTGGGACCCCCAAAATTCGGACTGGGGGGGAGGACCCCCCAAAACCCCTCAAAATCTGTGTTTGGGGGGGAGGTCAGAACCCCCAAATTTGAACTGGGGGTGTCAGGATCCCCCAAAACCCTCCCCAAATCTGTTCTAGAGGGGGGTCATGACCCCCCAAATTGGGACTGGGGGGGGGGGATCAGGACCCCCAATTTTGAACTGGGGGGTCAAGACCCCCAAATTTCATCTGGGGGGGGTCAGGACCCCCAAATTCCTCACCCAGCTCCCCCCGTTTCTTGTCGGGTCCCGACCGCTGTGATTTGTTCTGGAGGGGGGAAAGGGGGAAGGAGACCCCCGTGAGTGGGGAGGATTTGGGGGGGCTGGGGGGGGCTGGACCCCCACCAGAGACCCCGGGGACCCTCCCAGGGATCCCCGAGGACCCCCCACAAAAGCCCCCCAAAATCCAGGGGTTTTAGTTTGTCCAGAGGCGTCTCCCCCCGTTTTTGCCGGTTTTGGTACCTTCCGTGCACCCGATCCGGGATCTGGGGGAGAGAAAGTTAATTAGTGAGGGGTAATTAGGGGTTTGCTTAATTAGTGATGAGGTAATTAGACAGTGCTTTAGTTAATGAAGGGTAATTAGCTCACAACTTATTAGTGAGGGAGTAATTAGTAATTTTGTTTAATTAATAAAGGGATAATTAGCTTCTGTCTTAATTAATGTTGGAGTAATTAGTCCATCCCCTAATAATATTATGGTAATTAGCCTATCCTCTAATTAATGACATGGTAATTAGCCTCCTTTAATTAATGTTGGAGTAATTAGTCCATCCCCTAATAATATTATGGTAATTAGCCTATCCTCTAATTAATGACATGGTAATTAGCCTCCTTTAATTAATGTTGGGGTAATTAGTTCATCCCCCAATTTATTACATGCTAATTAGCCTCTCTCTTAATTGATGTTAAGTAATTAGGGCTGAGGGTAATTAGTCCATCCCCTAATTAATGATGGATTAATTGGCCCCAGCCCTAATTAACAGCTGAAAAATAGATCCACCACTAACTAATAACAGCCAATTACTCCATTCCCAAATTAATGATGGGGTAATTGGTCCCACCACTAATTAATGAAGGGACTAATTAACTCTTCTCTTAATTAATGCTTGCATTGAATTAGGTTCAGTGGGTGGCCATCATTACGGCATCCCACCTTGCCTTGCTCCATGTCGGCCATCTTGTATCCCACAATTCCCTGTTCTGTCAGCCATCTTGTATCCCACCAATTACCAGCCCAATGTCAGCCATTTTGTATCCCACAATGCCCTGTTCTGTGTCAGCCATTTTGTATCCTATGCCACTCAGTGGCAGCCATCTTGTATCCCACAATGCCCTGTTCTGTCAGCCATCTTGTATCACGCCAATTACCAGCCCAATGTCAGCCATCTTGTATCCCACAATGCCCTGTTCTGTGTCAGCCATTTTGTATCCTATGCCACTCAGTGTCAGCCATCTTGTATCCCACAATGCCCTGTTCTGTCAGCCATTTTGTATTCCATAATGCCCTGTTCTGTCAGACATCTTGTATCCCACCAATTACCAGCCCAGTGTCAGCCATCTTGTATCCCACAGTGCCCTGCTTTGGCAGCCTTCTTGTATTCCATAATTCTTAATGTCAGCCATCTTGTATCCCACAATGCCCTGTGCTGTGTCAGCCATTTTGTATCCTATGCTACTCAGTGTCAGCCATCTTGTATCCCACAATGCCTTCCCTTCCCCATTATCCTCCTGCCTCCATTCACTGTTTCTCTCCTCTTCAATCCCATGATGCCCCTCCCCAATCCCACGATGCCCCTCCCCAATCCCATCATGCCACTCACCAGTTCCGGCCTTCCCGCAGGTCCCCACGCGCCCCAGGCACTCCTTGTGGGCGGGGGCTCGGCAGCGGCTGCAGCGATAGCCCTGGTAGAAGGTGCCCCTGGGGACACGGAGGGGACACGGGGTCACGGTCACAGGGGACACCACCAGCCATGCTCCACACCCACCTGAGGCCACCCAGGACTGACCAGTCCATGACTGACCTGAGCCCACCCAGAACTGACCAGTCCATGACTAACCTGAACCCACCCAGGACTGACCAGTCCGTGACTGACCTGAGCCCACCCAGAACTGACTAGTCCAGGACTGACCAGTCCGTGACTGACCTGAGCCCGCCCAGAACTGACCAGTCCATGACTGACCAGTCCGTGACTGACCTGAGTCTGACCAAGGCTGACCAGTCCATGACTGACCAGTCCATGACTGACCTGAGCCCACCCAGAACTGACTAGTCCAGGACTGACCAGTCCATGACTGACCAGTCCGTGACTGACCTGAGTCTGACCAAGGCTGACCAGTCCATGACTGACCAGTCCATGACTGACCTGAGCCCACCCAGAACTGAACAGTCCATGACTGTCCAGTCCATGATTGACCTGAGCCTGCCCAGGACTGACCAGTCCATGGTTGACCTGAACCTGTCCAGGACTGACCAGTCCATGACTGACCAGTCCGTGACTGACCTGAGCCCACCCAGAACTGACTAGTCCAGGACTGACCAGTCCGTGACTGACCTGAGCCCACCCAGAACTGACTAGTCCAGGACTGACCAGTCCGTGACTGACCTGAGCCCACCCAGAACTGACTAGTCCAGGACTGACCAGTCCGTGACTGACCTGAGCCCACCCAGAACTGACTAGTCCAGGACTGACCAGTCCGTGACTGACCAGTCCGTGACTGACCTGAACCCACCCAGGACTGACCACTCCATGACTGACCTGAACCCACCCAGGACTGACCAGTCCATGGTTGACCTGAGCCTGTCCAGGACTGACCAGTCCATGGTTGACCTGAACTCACCTAGGACTGACCAGCCCAGGACTGACCAGTCCATGACTGACCTGAGTTTGTCCAGGACTGACCAGTCCATGATTGACCTGAACCCACCTAGGACTGACCAGTCCATGACTGACCACTCCATGACTGACCTGAGTGTGTCCAGGACTGACCAGTCCATGACCCACCCAGGTTGGCCAGCACAGCCCTTGACCCACTTGGGTGCTGGCCCATGTTGGTCCCACCAGCACCAACCCAACCAGGAGAGTCTCATCTCGCCTTTGGTCCACCCGGGGCTTGGCCCGCTTTAGCATCCAGCCAACTTTGGTCTTGACCCACCTCAACCTTGACCTCTAACCAACCCTTGATCCACCTTGGCCTTGACCTCTAACCAACCCTTGATCCACCTCGGCCTTGACCTCCATCCAACCTTGACCCACCTTGGCCTTGACCCACTTTGGCCTTGACCTCCAACCAACCTTTGATCCACCTTGACCCCTTGGCCCCACCCGACCTTGACCCACCTTGTCCTCTACTCAACATTGACCCACCTTGACTCCAACCCAACCTTGACCCACCTTGGCCTTGACCCACTTTGGCCTTGACCTCCAACCAACCATTGACCCACCTTGACCTCTTGGCCCCACCCAACCTTGACCCACCTTGGCCTCTACTCAACATTGACCCACCTTGACTCCAACCCAACCTTGACCCACCTTGGGGCCACTCAGAGCTTGATCCCCAAGAGCTCCTTGACCCCCCCAGCCCTTGACCACCCTCCAAGGCTTGACCCACCTTGACCTTGACCCACGCCTTGACCTCACCACCCCCAAGGGTGCAACCCACCCTGACCTTCACCTTCAACCCTGGGGTCTCCTCCTCTTGTAGAGCCCCCCAAACCCCTCTCCCAACCCCCCCAGGACCATGTGGACACGATTTTGGGGTCCTACCTCAGCAACATCTGGCAGGCCTTGCAGGACGTGGTGTCCTCGAAGGAGAACATCTGGAAGTCGTGTCCATCAGCCAGGGCGTGCTCGGGGAAGATGTTGGACCTGCCGGACATGGGGAGGACCTGGGTCGGGTGGGGACAAACTGGGCGTCCCCAGGACCACCCAGTGGGGCAGGTGTGACCTCCTCGGTGGGGACAGGGCCACCTACAGGGCCATCTCGAACTGCTCCAGCCACTTCTTCTTCAGCTCGTGTGTCTTGAAGAAGAGCTCGTAGTCCGGCAGCCCGGCCGTGTCCAGCAGCATGAAGGTGTGGGACCACTGTGGGGTGGGGAGGGGTCAGCCACGCCCCCCAAATAGGGCGGGGCCACGTGGCATTGGGGATACTGGGGTCACACCCCACCCTCCTGGGGTGACTGAGTGGTGGGGTGGACACCAGGGTGCACCAGGGACCAGATTTGAGGGATCCACCAGGGAATGGGGTTATGGAGTGGACACCAGGGACCAGGATCTAGGAATCCACCAAGGAATGGGGTTTTGGGGTTCACCAGGGACCAGGATCCTGGAATCCACCAGGGAATGGGGTTTTGGGGTTCACCAGGGACCAGGATCCTAGAATCCATCAGGGAATGGAATTTTGGGGTTCACCAGGGACCAGATTTTGGGGATCCACCAGGGAATGGGGTTTTGAGGTTCACCAGATCTGGACATTTGGGACCATGAGGGACCTGGATGTTGGGACCACCAGTAACCAAAATCCTGGGATCCACCAGACCTGGACCTCTGAGGTCATTGGGAAGAGGGCCTGGCGACCACCAGGATCTGGACACCTGGGACCACTTGGAACTGGACACGTGTCCACCAGTGACCAGGTTCCTGGGATCCAAAAGACTGGACACTCGTGTCCACCTCGATCCTTTGGGAAGAGGACACTGGGACTGGAGGAACCTGGACACTGGGCTCCCCCAGGCCCAGATGTCCCCACAGTGTCCCTGGTACCTTCTTGCCATCGCGGGGTCCGAGGTCACCATCGTGCAGTTGGTGGCACTGGAGGTCCACCACGTCCTTGGTCTCGTAGGAGTCCCCGCGGCGCTTGCAGATGATCAGGGCCTTGTCCAGCAGGAAGCCGTACCTGGGGACAGTGACAAAGGTGACATCGCATCCCTGAGGCTGCCATGCTCCATGGGTGTCCCCATGGCTGCCCTGGACTGGCCTCCAAGTGTCACTGTGTTCCCATCCTTGTGTCCTCATGGTGTCCCCATGTCCCTAAGATGTCCCTGTGGTGTCTCCATGGATGTCCCCATGTCCCTGAGTTGTCCCCAAGGTGTTCCTGAGGTGTCTCCATGGATGTCCCCATGTCCCTGAGTTGTCCCCAAGGTGTTCCTGAGGTGTCTCCATGGATGTCCCCATGTCCTGGAGGTGTTCCTGAGGTGTCCCCATGTCTCCGTGGTGTCCCCATATTGCTGTGATGTCCCTGTGGTGTCCCCATGGTGTCCCCAGCTGTCCCCAGGTGTCCCCAGGTGTCCCTGGCCCACCTGTCCACCTTGGAGCGTCTCTCGGCGCTGGAGACCTTCAGCTCCCCGTCAATCTTGGGGCGCCCGAACTGCGCCAGGGACTGCGGCTGGAAATGGGACATGGAAATGGGATGTGGGAATGGGACATGGGAACGGGACACGGGAACAGGATGTGGGAATGGGACACGGGAACAGGACACAGGAACAGGATGTGGGAATGGGACACGGGAACAGGACACGGGAACAGGATATGGGAACGGGACATGGGAATGGGATGTGGGAATGGGACACGGGAACAGGACTCAGGAACAGGATGTGGGAATGGGACACGGGAAAGGGACACAGGAATGGGACATGGGAACGGGATATGGGAACGGGACATGGGAACGGGATGTGGGAATGGGACAGCGGGAATGGAACATCAGGAATGGGACACGGGAATGGGACACGGGAACAGGACACGGGAACGGGATGTGGGAATGGGATGTGGGAATGGGACAGTGGGAATGGGACACGGGAACGGGATGTGGGAATGGGACACAGGAATGGGATGTGGGAATGGAAATGGGAATGGGACATGGGAACAGGATACAGGAACGGGATGTGGGAATGGGACAGTGGGAATGGGACACGGGAATGGGATGTGGGAATAGAAATGGGAATGGGACACGGGAACAGGACACAGAAACGGGATGTGGGAATGGGACAGTGGGAATGGGACATGGGAACGGGATGTGGAAATGGGGATGTGGGAATGGGACACGGGAATGGGATGTGGGAATGGGACACGGGAACGGGACACAGGAACGGGATGTGGGAATGGGAACGGGAACAGGACACGGGAACAGGACATGGGAATGGGACACGGGAACGTGACCTTGGGACATCAGGAACAGGATAGACATCAGAAATGGGATGGACATCAGGAAGGGGATGAACATCAGGAACGGGATGGACATCGGGAACAGGAAGGACATCAGGAATGGGATGAACATCAGGAATGGGACATCAGGAAGGGGATGGACATCGGGAATGGGACATCAGGAATGGGATGGACATGAGGAATCACGGGAACAGGACATGGGAATGGGACACGGGAACGTGACCTTGGGACATCAGGAACAGGATAGACATCAGAAATGGGACGGACATCAGGAAGGGGATGGACATCAGGAACAGGAAGGACATTGGGAATGGGATAGACATCAGAAATGGGATGGACATCAGGAAGGGGAAGGACATCAGGAAGGGGATGGACATCAGGAATGGGATGGACATTGGGACATTGGGATGGATGTCGGCAATGGGTTGAACATTGGGAAAGGGATGGACATTGGGAACGGGACATGGGAACGGGCTGGACATCGGGAATGGGGTGGACATCGGGACATCAGGAATAGGATATGGGAACGGGATGGACATCGGGACATCGAGAATGGGACATTGGGAATGGGATGGACATTGGGAATAGGATGGACATCGGGAACGGGGTGGACATTGGGACATCAGGAACAGGACGGACATCGGGAATGGGATAAGGGAATGGGGTGGACATCGGGAACGGGACACGGGAACAGGATGGGCATCGGGAATGGGATACGGGAACGGGGTGGACATTGGGACATAGGGAACAGGATGGACATCGGGAATGGGACATGGGAAGGGAGTGGACATTGGGATGAGAACGGGACATTGGGAATGGGGTGGACATCGGGAATGGGATATGGGAATGGGGTGGACATTGGGACATCGGGGCATCGAGAACGGGACATTGGGAATGGGATGGACATCGGGAACGGGACATTGGGAATGGGGTGGACATCGGGAACGGGACATGGGAACGGAGATGGACATCGGGAACGGGACATGGGAATGGGGTGGGCATTGGGATGAGAACGGGACATTGGGAATGGGATGGACATCGGGAACGGGACATTGGGAATGGGGTGGACATCGGGAATGGGATATGGGAATGGGGTGGACATTGGGACATCGGGGCATCGAGAACGGGACATTGGGAATGGGATGGACATCGGGAACGGGACATTGGGAATGGGGTGGACATCGGGAATGGGATATGGGAATGGGGTGGACATTGGGACATCGGGGCATCGAGAACGGGACATTGGGAATGGGATGGACATCGGGAACGGGACATTGGGAATGGGGTGGACATCGGGAATGGGATATGGGAATGGGGTGGACATTGGGACATCGGGGCATCGAGAACGGGACATTGGGAATGGGATGGACATCGGGAACGGGACATTGGGAATGGGGTGGACATCGGGAATGGGATATGGGAATGGGGTGGACATTGGGACATCGGGGCATCGAGAACGGGACATTGGGAATGGGATGGACATCGGGAACGGGACATTGGGAATGGGGTGGACATCGGGAATGGGATATGGGAATGGGGTGGACATTGGGACATCGGGGCATCGAGAACGGGACATTGGGAATGGGATGGACATCGGGAACGGGACATTGGGAATGGGGTGGACATCGGGAATGGGATATGGGAATGGGGTGGACATTGGGACATCGGGGCATCGAGAACGGGACATTGGGAATGGGATGGACATCGGGAACGGGACATTGGGAATGGGGTGGACATCGGGAATGGGATATGGGAATGGGGTGGACATTGGGACATCGGGGCATCGAGAACGGGACATTGGGAATGGGATGGACATCGGGAACGGGACATTGGGAATGGGGTGGACATCGGGAATGGGATATGGGAATGGGGTGGACATTGGGACATCGGGGCATCGAGAACGGGACATTGGGAATGGGATGGACATCGGGAACGGGACATTGGGAATGGGGTGGACATCGGGAATGGGATATGGGAATGGGGTGGACATTGGGACATCGGGGCATCGAGAACGGGACATTGGGAATGGGATGGACATCGGGAACGGGACATTGGGAATGGGGTGGACATCGGGAACGGGACATGGGAACGGAGTGGACATTGGGAACGGGACATTGGGAACGGGATGGACATCGGGAACGGGATGGACATCGGGAATGGGACATGGGAAGGGAGTGGACATTGGGACATTGAGAACAGGACATTGGGAATGGGATGGACATCGGGAATGGGATATGGGAACGGGGTGGACATTGGGACATAGGGAACAGGATGGACATTGGGAATGGGATGGACATCGGGAACGGGATGGACATCGGGAACGGGATGGACATCGGGAACGGGACACGGGAACAGGGTGAACATGGGGAATGGATCCCAGGGGGATTTGGGGGTCCGGGGGGTCCCCACCATGTTGTGCAGGCACAGCTGGATGCTCGTGAGCTGCTTCAGGGTCTCGTTGTCCCGCTTGACCTCATTCACGCACTGGGCCAGGTCCTGGTGGGGTTTGGGGGGCTCCAGTCAGAGACCCCCGAACCCAAAAATCCCACCCTGGAATCACCAAATCCCCCCTGGACACCTCAAATCCCCCCTGGACACCTCAAATCCCCCCTGGAACTCCCAAATCTCCCCTGGAACCCCAAAATTCCCCCTGGAACCCCCAAATCTCCCCCTGGAAACCCCAAATTCTCCCTGGAATCCCCAAATCCCCCCTGGAGACCCCAAATTACCCCTAGAATCCCAAATTCTCCCTGGAACTCCCAAATCCTCCTCTGGAACCTCCAAATTCCCCCTGGAACCCCCAAATTCCACCCGGAATGCCCAAATCCCACTCAGGACCTCCAAATCTCTGCCAAATCCCCCTCCCCAGGTCCCCAAATCCCCCCAAATCGCCCCCAACTGGAGCAGCAGGTGGTATTTCAGCTGTCCCCAGGTGTGTCCCCAGGTGTGTCCCCAGGTGTGTCCCTCCCCCCAGGTGTGTCCCAGGTGTGTCCCCGGTGTCACCTGGAGCAGCAGGTGGTATTTCAGCACCCTCTGCATGGGCACCATCAGCAGGTCCCGCAGCGAGAAGCGCCCGTTGTTGGCGCGCTGGGAGCACTCCTGGGGACATTGGGGACATTTGGGGACATTCGGGGTCACTTCGGGGTCACTTCGGGGTCACTTCGGGGTCACTTTGAGGTTGTTTGGGGTCATTTATGGTCAGTTTGGGGTAATTTTGGGATCATTTGAGGTCATTTAGGGTCACTTTGAGGTCATCAGGGACACTGGGGTCATTTAGGTTAATTTTGGGGTCATTTGGGGTCAGTTTGAGATCAGCAGGGACATTGGGGTAATTTAGGGTCACTTTGGGGTCAGTTTAGGGTCACTTTGGGGTCAGCAGGGACACTGAGGTCACTTTGGGGTCATTTGCAGTAATTTTGGGGTAATTTGTGGCCATTTGGGGTCACTTTGGGGCCATCTGGGTCAATTTGGGGACATTTGGGGTCATTTAGGTTAATTTTGGGGTCATTTGGGGTCAATTTGGGGTCAGCAGGGACACTGAGGTCACTTTGGGGTCATTTGCAGTAATTTTGGGGGAATTTGTGGCCATTTGGGGTCACTTTGGGGCCATCTGGGTCAATTTGGGGACATTTGGGGTCATTTAGGATCAGTTTAGGGTAATGGGGCCATTTGCATCAGTTTGGGGACATTTGGGGTCATTTAGGTTAATTTTGGGGTCATTTGGGGTCAGTTTGAGATCAGCAGGGACATTGGGGTAATTTAGGGTCACTTTGGGGTCAGTTTAGGGTCACTTTGGGGTCAGCAGGGACACTGAGGTCACTTTGGGGTCAGTTTAGGGTCACTTTGGGGTCAGCAGGGACACTGAGGTCACTTTGGGGTCAGTTTAGGGTCACTTTGGGGTCAGCAGGGACACTGAGGTCACTTTGGGGTCAGTTTAGGGTCACTTTGGGGTCAGCAGGGACACTGAGGTCACTTTGGGGTCAGTTTAGGGTCACTTTGGGGTCAGCAGGGACACTGAGGTCACTTTGGGGTCAGTTTGGGGTCATTTGGGGCTTTTTGGGGCTCACCTGGAGCTTCATGCGCAGGTCAGTGCAGGTGGACAGCTGGTCCAGGCGCCGCGCGGCCGCTTCCACCTGGCTGCAGTAGCGGCCGTAGTCAGGACCCCCGAACCGCCCCCAGCCCCACCCTCATGGCGTCCAGCGCCCCCCGCAGCCGTTCCCGCTCGGCCGCGTCCGGGGTCAGCTTCACCAGCTCCTGGGGGGCAAAGGTCATGGTGTGCCCAGGTGTGCCCAGGTGTGCCCAGGTGTGTCCCCAGGTGTGTCCCCAGCTGTGCCCAGGTACCCCCACGTGTGCCCAGGTACCCCCAGGTGTCCCCAGGTGTGCCCACGTGTGCCCAGGTGTGTCCCCAGGTGTCCCCAGCTGTGCCCAGGTACCCCCAGCTGTGCCCAGGTACCCCCAGGTGTGCCTAGGTGTGTCCCCAGGTGTCCCCAGCTGTGCCCAGGTACCCCCAGGTGTGCCCCCAGCTGTGTCCCCAGGTGTCCCCAGTTGTGTCCCAGGTGTGTCCCCAGGTGTGCCCAGGTGTTCCAGGTATGTCCCCAGGTGTGTCTCAGGTGTGTCACCTGGAGCAGCAGGTGGTATTTCAGCTGTTCCCAGGTGTGTCCCTCTCCCCGCCAGGTGTGTCCCCATGTGCCCCCCACGTGTCCCAGCTGTCCCCAGGTGTGTCCCAGGTGTGTCCCTCCCCACAGGTCCGTCCCAGGTGTGTCCCCAGGTGTGTCC